ACAATCAATCCAATATTAGAGCCTATTTGATACACATTAATCTATTTTATTATTTGTTCATTTTTAACCACACATTTACACAATAAAATATTGTACACGTATACGAAAAACTTTTTTTCTACTTTTTAACCGTACGCTCTCCTAAACGCACCCTTCAAAGCACTTTTTTTTTTAACGATAATGATTGTCGTGCTGGCTCTTAACTACACAATGAAGCTCGGGAATCCACCAAACACAGTTTGTTAGGCGCACAATCATTTAAAGCATACTTACGCATAATCACCTACTCCACGAGAATGTTCGTGTTCAAATTAATGATGGAGCATTCCCCGTGGAATTGATAGATAATGTAGACTTGAAGCAGAGGTTGGCACAGGGGAATGGACTCGAGGTTGATTCTCGAACTTGATTTTGAATGATATATAATGAATTGCATTAGTGCCATGAGCTATGACTTTTTACAAAATTGTATTAGTACCTACATCAATTGCACTTAACTTACTAATAAAATGAAATAGGAAAGAATCATGCTATTCATTAACAACGGTAATGAGCAACAATTTTAGTGGCGCTGGGATAACTCTTATATTGTTTAAGTGAAAAATACATTACAATTTTATCGAACAATGTAAAAAGGCAGGCAGGCATGGTAAATTGTAAGAGGAATGCTTGATGCACAATGATTTTAATAACATTATTGACAACATGCCTCGTGAAATGTTGTCATTGAACAATTTAAAAAACAATTTATTTTCTCAACCAACACTTTGTTGTATTTTTTAAATTTTTATTTATTTATTTATTTTTTTTTTTTTTGGCCACAATCAACATTCTCAGCAGTGTAGATTGATTCAAATTGTAAAATGGAATTCTGACGGGGATTCAACTCAGATGGATTAGCTCTGCTGTCAACTTCCATCTACAGACAGATGCTTCCATTACAATATCAGCAAATTTGTAAAAATTGAGGACCCCCTTTAATTCACCGTTTTTTAAAACAGTCAAAACGAAAAAATTATTGCGAAACAAAACAGGAGGGCCCGGACTTTTCGCTTCTTAATGACATGTGAAATGATCAACCGTAGCTAAAGTAATGATATATCAAAGTAAGCCGCTCCAAATTAGTATTTCGAAAAGTTCGATAATATGCTAACTTTTAAAATTTGCCAATGATCGTATATTATCCAAATCCCCTGAGTCATCTAGAATCTTGTTTCGAAAACTACATCGTAATCATATTGAATGGTCCAAACAAATATTAAAAATTGTTAAACATGTGTCAAATGTACGTACTAGAAAAGACGTTTAACTCGTTTTTTCTTTTAAAAAAATTCAATATTGCATTAACGTTTATTATTTTTATGCTATAAAATTTTCAATATAATTTACATCAATATTGCTAGTGGTACATAGGAGTGTACCTAAACGTGTACACTCCTTTCACATAGGGTGTGGGATCCACCGGAATAAAAAACACTTATTCGAGTGGACCCCACACCCCATGTGACAGGGGTGTACATCCTTAGGCACACTCCATTATGTACCACTAGATTAATTCAATTTACATCATTTTATTAAAAAATTTTACATGGAAGATGACGTTAAAAATTCTAAAATCGTTACGGATTAAATGTAATTTGAATTACTTTCAAATTATTTTTTCGTTAAAATTAAATTTCATTTACTTCATAAATTAAATGTGAATTTTATTTCAATTTGTTTATTTTCTACATCCAATTTGATTTATTCGCCATTAGCTCAACATCTAAAAATGACATGGTAAACAAAATTATACATGCAGCAAAATTCATTTGACACCATTGATAATGATATAATTATCAGACATTTTCAAGGGGTCAAAATGCGTATTAATTTATTTTCATTAATATTATATTATATTGAAAAATTACACATTAATTTTTAATCCCCAACCTAGAAAGGCTAGGTCCTCCCCTGCCGGACCCATGCATGGATCTTTTCAAATTATAATAGCTGATGACATATATTTTTTCTTTTTTTCCAGCCATCATCCTTGAAGCTTAATGTCTAAGGTATTGAGGGTGTTCACATTGGCGGACCTACACAAGGTCCTAGTGGGTCACTTGACCCACCAGATTCAAGTTTGATTTTTTTTTTTCTTTCAAACAACCAAAAATTAGAATTGGGCAATATTGATAGTTGGGGTTTTTTTTTTTTACTAAAAGAGAGTTCCAACAATGATCGAACAATTGAGAGAGTGAGTTGAAATTATTTTATCATTTGTGATATTTAATTCGAAAATTCTTTAAAAAAATTTATTCATTATATAAATGAGATTATTTGAAATTCTTTGAAAATTGTTATTTATCATATATAAGAGATTTGTGAATATATGATAGTGATAATGTGTATGTGTTTTTGTAGAATACATAAATTTTTTTATAATTTTTAATAAATTTAATTGTGCCCTCACTAAATTCAAATGTCTGTGTCCGTTACTAGGTGTTTATGTCCAATGCCTTTTCTTTTAAATAAACTTAGTCTGTGCATCCACTAAAATTTTTGATAGAGGAAAACTTTTGAAGAAAATTTGGTAGAATTTCGATTTATAGTGAATGATTTAGCCAATCACCATCTTATTTTGAAAATGACTGATCTAATTTGTTGTGTCCTACGGACTTATGTTCAATTCTTGCTTGTCAAATTCAGTAATTACCACAGTTTCTTGAAGCTTGTGGATTAAATTCACTATTGAATATATAAGATTGAATATCAACCGTCTCATTTAAGAATCAATAAATGTTTATCTAGTGTAAACTAAACATTTTATGACGTTACTCATTACTAATGAATATGAGTAATCGACTCGATATTCATATTCTCGATCAACGAAATCTCGATATCCGCATATAGTTGAGAGACCTGGCAGTGCTAACAACACTATACTAGAAAGAAAAAAAATGTAGACCTTTCTTGTGATCTATCAGGTACACCTTGAGGGTAGGAATAACTATTATGGGTTTTCTTTCATCAATTTTTTTGGAAAAGTGATAGTGTTTAATCTACATTCGATCGTTATCGTGATCCAACCCATGGGTTTAAGATCTTGCCTTGTTGCTCCCAACAAATATATTTTTAGGGCCTATTTGGGAGCGATTTTTCCTCTCAAAAAATTGATTTTTTGACCGTAATTTCATTATTTTAGCCATCATATTTGATTTCTTCTCTTACATGTAGATCCTACTCTTCTCCTAACGGTCAAAAAATAAATTTTCAAAATCACTCCTAAACAGGCTCTTACAATTTTGTGATTGGTTAAAATTGATTGACGTGAAATGTTGTGTAATTTGAACTTATTATTGGATTAACAAGAAGGACGTTTAATTCAAATACTTCGAATCTGTTGTAAAGTAAGAAGAATATCAAAGTACATGAAGAATTATTCACATACGATGACTTTTCAACATTGGGTAGCCATCAAAGAGATCATTAAACATTTTCATTGAAAAGAATTTTTCTTTTATTTTTTCAGAAGTTTCCCTAATTCAATTTGTATAGACAGCTTGTTCGGTAAGATAAACATTTCGAATTAATAATCCTATGCACCAAGTATTTCTTAAAGAAGCTTTACTATTCATGATAATTTGTGGTGCAAATGCCAGAATTTAGACCTTTAGGAATTATGTATTTTCCATAACAACCTTGAAAACGATAGAGATGGCAAAAAAACCTGCTCTGACGCGTTGGAAAGGTGGGGCGTAAGTCCCCACCCCACGAAGGGTTTAAAAAAAGAAGTTAGTTTGAAAATTATTTCCGTTGAATTTTACAATTTTGAATTTGTATCTTATTTTCTAATAATGGCATAATTTGAAATTTTTTTATTTTTTCAGAAGTTTCCCTAATTCAATTTGTATAGACAGCTTGTTCGGTAAGATAAACATTTCGAATTAATAATCCTATACACCAAATATTTCTTAAAGAAACTTTACCATTCATGATAATTTGTGGTACAAATGCCAAAATTTAGACCTTCAGGAATAATGTATTTTCCATAACAACCTTGAAAACGAATAGAGATGACAAAAAAAACCCGCCCTGACGGGTTAGAAAGCTGGGGCGTAAGTCCCCACCCCGCGAAGGGTTTCAAAAAAAAAAAAAGTTAGTTTGAACATTATTTGCTTTGAATTTTACAATTTTGAATTTGTATCTTATTCTCTAATAATAGCATAACTCGAAATTTTGAACCTTGAACCCGACTCACTACCATCCCTAGAAACGAAATCCCTACCCTTCCTCGCACGGCCACCTCACCTAAAAAATGCTTGGATAGGACGACTCAATATGTAAATGTCATAAGATAATACATTTAAATCACAACAACAGGTCGGATACAAAATCACTTCAATAGCAAAGTAAAATTTGCCCACCCATTGTGTGTCTCTTTCTTAGCAACCAATATTTTTAGGTCCCGTTTAGTACCTATTTTTTTCAAAATATATTTTTTTCTCTTTTCTTTTCAACCACATATTTTTTATTAAAATAATATTACACGTAAATTAAAAAATTTTCTTTATTTTTCAACTATACACTTCCCATTAATTTACTATTCTAAAATACATTTTTATATAAAAATGAGTATTAAACGCCCTCTTAGTATCGTGATTAGAATAAAGGATCCAACAACTTGTGCATTCAAGATTGTCCAGTTGAAATATCTTCACCGTATAATCAATCCCCCCACCTACCGCTGCCCCCATCCCGGCTCCAATCTGTTTCCGTATGTATATGTAGAGATATACATACAAAATTCAAGAATGCAAAAGGATACGTACGAGTGTAAAAGCCACCTCATTCAGACAAAAAACCATAGCGTATTTTTCTCCTAGATAACGACTTACAAACGTATGTTCCTGTCTTGTTACTCCAAATAGTACGCTCAATGACATCTCCACCGCCTACTATTTTTCCTCCCCCTCTCTTTCGTTCCTTATTTCCTCAATTGTCTTCTTCTTTAATCCTATCTCTACCAACTTTTTTTTTTTCAACCATCACTTCTTTATCTATCTAAATTTCCGGCACGGAATTTGGCCTAATCGTCAATGGCCAAACTCGTGGTAGAAGTCCTTGATGCTAGTGATCTCATGCCCAAAGATGGCCATGGCTCTGCCAGTCCCTTTGTACAAGTCAAATTTGAAGAACAGCTCCAAAAAACTTCAACAAAGCCTAAAGATCTCAACCCTCAATGGAATGAAAAGCTCGTTTTCAACGTAAAGAATCCCTTAGATTTTCCGAATCAAACCATTGAAGTTTTTGTTTACAATGATAATAAACAAGCCCATCATAAGAATTTTCTCGGCCGGGTTCTCATTTCCGGAGCGTCTGTTCCTTTTTCTGAGGCTGAAGCCATGGTTCAGAGATACCCACTTGATAAAAGAGGGTTTTTTTCTAACATAAAGGGTGATATTGCTTTGAAAATTTATGGGGTGCATGGAAATGTAAATGGATTTCAGGCTCAGGCGGAGTCTTTTCATCCACCCGAGGAAGTGGAAATTCCTTCTCATCATCATCACAAAGCAGCAACAGAAAGTACTCCTTTACAGGAGATTAATCCTAATAAGCTTGGTGAAGACTACTACTACAAGGAAAATCCTGAGAAGGGCAAGAAGAAGAAGGAAAAGGAAGTGAGGACCTTTTACTCTCTTGGAACAGGTTCTGGTGGTCCAGCAACCGGGCCACCTCCACCTCCAGCTGAAAAGCCAGTTTCAATGGAACCACGGACTGATTTTGCGAAGGCTGGACCGAACCCTGCAGCCACCGTTATGCAGATGCAATTTCCGGGTCAGAAACCTGACTATGGATTGGTGGAAACTAGGCCTCCTTTGGCTGCAAGAATGGGATACTGGGGAAGGGACAAGACTGCGAGTACTTATGATTTGGTGGAGCAGATGTATTTTCTGTATGTGAATGTTGTCAGGGCTAAGGATCTTCCAGTGATGGACATATCAGGGAGTCTTGATCCATATGTTGAGGTGAAGGTTGGTAATTACAAAGGAGTGACTAGGCACTTCGAGAAGAATCAAAATCCGGTATGGAACAAGGTTTTCGCATTTTCTAAAGAGAGATTACAGTCCAATTTGATTGAAGTTACAGTTAAGGATAAGGATATTGGGAAGGATGATTTTGTGGGGAAAGTTCAGTTTGATATAGTAGATGTGCCTGTTCGAGTGCCACCTGACAGTCCATTGGCTCCTCAATGGTATAAATTGGATAATAAGAAGGGGGAGAAGATTAGCCATGGGGAGATTATGCTTGCAGTTTGGATGGGAACACAAGCTGATGAGGCATTCCCAGATGCTTGGCACTCTGATGCTCACAACGTAAACCAACAAAGTCTCGCCAGTACGCGATCAAAGGTGTATTTTTCTCCAAAATTGTATTATCTTCGAGCCCATATCATCTCCGCTCAAGATCTTGTTCCTTCAGACAGGGGGCGGCAACTGGATACGTTTGTGAGGGTGCAGATAGGGCACCAGATTAGACCTACTAGGCCTTCTCCAATGAAACACATCAATCCAGAGTGGAATGAGGAACTTATATTCGTAGTTTCCGAGCCTTTTGATGAGTATATAATGATAAGTGTTGAGGATAGAATTGGACAAGGCAAGGATGAAGTACTCGGAAGACTGGTCATACCAGTTCGGGAAGTTCCACAGAGATATGAACACGCTAAACTTCCAGAAGCCCGCTGGCATGCTCTTCACAAGCCTTCTGTGGTAGAGGAAGAAAGGGAAAAGAAGAAAGAGTCGAAATTTGCTAGCAGAATCCTTCTCATGCTCTGTATAGATGCCGGTTACCATGTTCTTGATGAGTCTACGCATTTCAGTAGTAATCTTCAGCCATCTTCAAGGCATCTAAGGAAGCCCAACATTGGAATTCTTGAAGTTGGAATTTTGAGTGCTCGCAATTTGCTGCCAATGAAGGCCAAAGATGGAAGAACTACAGATGCTTATTGCGTGGCTAAGTATGGGAACAAATGGGTTCGAACTCGAACACTTCTTGACACACTGAATCCTCGTTGGAATGAGCAGTTTACATGGGAGGTTTATGATCCATGTACCGTGATTACAATTGGTGTTTTTGACAATCACCACATCAATGGAAAAGATGATGTACATGATCAGCGAATAGGAAAGTTGAGAATTAGGCTCTCAACTTTAGAAACTGAAAGGATTTATACACATTTTTATCCACTGCTGGTTCTCACACCTTCGGGATTGAAGAAACAAGGTGAACTCCATTTAGCAATAAGGTTCTCCTGTATCGCTTGGATGAACATGGTGACACAATATGGAAAGCCATTGCTTCCGAAGATGCATTATGTGCAGCCCATATCGGTTAGGCACATTGATTGGCTCCGCCACCAGGCAATGCAGATAGTGGCTGCAAGGCTATCCAGGGCTGAACCACCACTCCGAAGGGAGATAGTCGAGTACATGTTGGATGTGGATTACCATCTGTTCAGCCTCAGGAGGAGCAAAGCCAACTTCCAACGTATTATGTGGCTTCTTTCTGGAATTTCATATGTCAGCAGATGGTTTGACGGAATCTGTTACTGGAAAAACCCGCTGACCACAATCCTCGTACACGTTTTGTTCTTGGTACTGGTTTGCTACCCGGAATTAATCTTGCCAACTATTTTCCTTTATCTTTTCGTCATTGGCCTGTGGAACTACCGGTTCAGACCTAGGAAACCGCCTCACATGGATGCTCGACTCTCTCAAGCCGAGAATGTTAATCCCGATGAACTGGATGAGGAATTCGATTCATTTCCAACCCGTCGGCCCACAGATATTGTGAGAATGAGGTATGACAGACTGCGGAGTGTTGCAGGCAAAGTTCAAACTGTGATGGGAGATTTGGCAACACAAGGGGAAAGAGCTACTTCAATATTAAGCTGGAGAGATCCCAGGGCTACAGCAATCGTCATCATCTTTGCTTTGATCTTGGCTGTGTTTTTGTACATAACCCCATTCCAGATCGTGGCCGTGCTGGTCGGCCTTTACTGGTTGCGCCATCCTAGGTTCAGGAGCAAGCTGCCTTCTGTTCCTGTCAATTTCTTCAAGAGATTACCCTCCAAATCAGACATGCTTCTATGAGATTAAGGTGGTTCAATCCTCATTTACTCATTCAGGTAATGCCGAAGATAGCTTCGTAAATACCTCCAATAATGTTGGCAGCAGATAAAAACAAAATCGAATTACCAAGTATATAACTGCTTGCAACCTCAAGAAGTTACTTCAATCTATGTAATAGACCAACATTTTTCTTCCATACGTTATCTGTTTAGGACACGTTACAATTTTCCGTTGAATGAGATGAGAGGAACTAATTGTAAGCATTACTATTTGTTTATACATAAATAAGGACTCAAATGCCATGTTTAATGAATTCTTTCATTAACAAACGTTTGAAAACTTCGGCACATAAAACTCAATGGAACACAAGGACTACAACATAATTTAATTTTTTTTATCCCTTGTATGATTCTAAGGTCCAGAAATAAGTGCAAATTTAGGACCCAAAATGCAGCAGCATCCCAAAAAAAACCCAAGAAGTTCATCGAGAAGACAAACAAAAGTAAAGCAATTATTGGTAATGGGCTCATAAGAAATCCGCCAAAAAGAGCTTTATCAACATGATCCCAATTGCATCCATAATGAGAAGTTCCCGGCTTTTCGTATTCCAACTTTGCCTCATTTTCCATCTTTTTGTGAGAACTGTTCTTGCAGTTTCGAATTAACCATCCAATGAGGTTTTGGTTACTACGTTCACTTGGCCTTGGGTCATTCCTGGGAACCGAAATAATCTTATCCTCAGTATGTCCGCAGCTACTTGTCAATTCATAAGCACAATGTTCTGGCTCTTCTGAACATGCACTGGTTTCACTCGTGTTTGAGCACAGTGTGTACCCTGACTCTCGCTTGAAGCACTACCTCTATTGAGAATCTCGATCACCTCTCCAAAAACTGACCATCTTCCAACAGACGTTATCTTCACTATGGCTGAAGTCCCCAGCATGCTTTCTGGTCCAACTACCAGCACCTGAATATATCCCTTAGTGTGACCCACCTACAGCATGGAAAATATATAAGTGGTGGTATGCAGAGGCACTTAACCAAGAACATCATATCCAAAAACCATTTGCACATTTTGATAGATCGGGGTGCTTGAATGGATTTTCGTATCAAATTCTTTCCAAATATTGATATGATGATATCAAAATAATGTTCTCTCTAAAGTTCCTTTTTAACTGCTGAATTTGAATATCAAGTAATAAAATAGTCATACACTGCACTATAGTTATTACACTACACTGAAAACTTAACAGCCAAAATTAACATAGCACTACTGGAAGGGATATTCATCAATGTAACTCTAATTGTGATTGATAGTGACAAATGAGAAAAACTTCAACTTAGCCGCTAAGAAATGAATCTGAGATCTATAAGATTCACAATATCAAACATCAGTGAACCCCAAGTCAATCTTACCAAATGAATTCCATCTGTGGCAATTTCTGTAATCCATATCCTCTCCACTTTGCCTTCCGTTCCAACATGGGGTAAATGACTCAATACGCTAGTCAATTCACGACTTCGTTTCTTCACGGAAGTACTAGGGAACATTTTTCACCCTTGCAGCTGGTGTTCCTGCACTGGGAAAAAATAGACAATAAAATATCCAAGAACTATGATGATTTTAAGCAAGTTCTACACAAGCAACAGAAAGTAAAAAAAGCACATTTTATGGTCTAATTAAATCTATACATATTCCTCAAGAAAAGAAACCCGGTGTTTATCATGTTGGCAACTACACGAAGAGGATGGATTAGCTGCTTCAAAATTCCAGGGAAAAAAAAAAAAATTCCCCAAGCAAAGAAATACATTAATAACAGACAAAATAAGGAAGTACCATAGCTCAAGTTAAATAGTATATGCCACTAAAAATCGAAAAACTTCTTCAGTTTCTCACTTTTCTCTTTGGTTCAAGGGGTTAGGTTAATGGGTGTCAGGCTACATCCTCTTTTAAGGACGGGCTCCTTCCTAGGAAATTTAAGTTCAGTGAATCAAAATTTTTGACAAGTTCATATAATACCCCACAGTTCTACTGTTTTTCATAAAGGTGGTTTTAGTTCTTCACAATCATGCTCAAAAAGGCAGAAAGATAGCACAGGATAGTGGTAGCCAGCTTGTACTTCCATAATAAGAATCTCAAAGGACAAGAATTGTGAGGAACTTCAAAAGGACACATAAGGAATTGCGAAATAAATTTAAAAATGAAAAGGTTAATATGACCTAGAACTACAAAAAAGGTGCAACTTACCAGGCCGAGAATAGAATTGTGATATATGAACTTGAGGAAACTTGTACTTCTTGATAAGGTTGACCGTCTGTTCAAAATCTTCATTCGTTTCGCCTGAGAAGCAGAGCATTGTTTACATATTAACTTCAGACTAACTATCTGGAGTGGCTAGTGCAACTTACATAATAAATATTATTAGAGGTAATGAAAAACCCTCGAAAATTTGAGAACAAAAGGGGAAAAAAATTAATTATGAGAAAGAGACAGAAAATTGTCATTGGAACGTTATGTTTATGCTCATCTTCCAGAAAGACTGCGGATTTATTTAATCCCAACAAATTCCTTATATCTCTGAACTAAATTACTGAAACTAGAAAATTCCTATAATCTTGCTAAAACATTGCGTTCAATTGGTCCTTATTCTTTTTATCATATTCATGTTCTTATTTGATTTTCTTCAGTATGCTGCTATGTGGGCAGAGCTATATTTAACTGTTTCATTCTCAAGTAGTAAACAAAGGCTACTATTAATCATCTAAATTTTGATCTATTAAGCCTGCACTTTTCAAGGAAGACGTAAACATCTATAATAGAAATTGAAGCATAGGAGTAAGTTAGAGAGACATAGAAGGAAGCCTAAAACTAGAACATACCAGGAAATCCACATTATATCAGTTGCTATCTGCATTCCGGGGACCATTTCAGTTAATGTATCGACCACTGTCCCGAAATCGCCAACAGTATATTCAGGATTCATTGCCTGTAAACCAATTGAAATGGAAAAAATGGCAATATTATATACTTGAAGTATCATTTCACAAAGTCACATTCAGAGCGTACAATCACAATTGCACAGTGAAGGGAAGGAAAAGAGGTATTATTTCAGAAGTTCAAAGAATGTACATGCATGGTTCACATGAAGAAAGAGTCCAATATATACTCACACTCAAGCTGGTATCACTTCCAGATTGAACTGGCACATGAAGAAAGGATACACGCATGGATGGAGCAAAACTTCAGCTATTTCTTTCAAGTGCTCTAGAATATAAGGAGGATTAGTCATCCCAATTCGAAGCATTGTGCTTCCATCAGAGGGAAGCTCTGCTACTAAAGCGTTCAACAAAATTGGAAGATTAGCTCCTAGGTCACGACCTGTAGAATTCCAAACCCAAAACTATTACAGTTGCATATGACTTTTGATAGTCATTAATGCAAAAGTAAATATATATTTGCCAGTAATTTGCTAATAGAAATAGATTTATCATCAAACCAGAGTATCTCACACCCTCCACCTTAAGAGTTAACTTAGGCATATAGTTGTAGCAAGGGTGGTGGCTACAAACGTGTTTTAGAAGCTTTCATTTTTCTTTCTTTTTTCCTGTTCCTTTCAATGTTGTCGAAGTGACAAATTATATATTCACATCATGGCATAACAATTTAAAAGTTGGCTTCAGTGGGAGACAAAATATTTTTGTGCACGTCAAGGTGCCAATAGTACTAGTTTCTGTATTTTTCAAATTACACAAGACATGACCAGGAAAAATAATGCTTAATACCATATGCTCCAGTGTCTTCACTACTTAACCAGATCTCCATTAGTCCATCACCAGATCTCCATTACTCCATCAGTTATGACACTACTGACACGACCCACCTACAATATCAAACTTGGTAAAAGAACTTTAAAAAAACTTACATGTCAAATTTCTGCGGTTGTAAACTTACAAGGCTGTCAACTGTGTAGCTTCCTAGATGACCATGAGCATGCTGTGTCTTGCAATAAGTGCAAGCACCTAAACAACCAACATTGATTGGAAGGATCTCAACAAAACTTGTTCTTTCTCACCTGATGGAGAAAATAACTAAATGAGCTTAGCAATGAAAATAATAATTGAATTCTTCAATCCAAGAATAAATTCTCACTAAAAACTAGCTGAACTCAGCCATGTACTTAAAAGTATGGCATTTGGAAGAACTACAATATCCTACACCGAAAAGTAAAAAGCATACGATACAGCTATTACACCTTCGGGAGGTCAAGTGCCGGTAATGTCTTCCGGGTGAGGAGCCGGACCTCGTGCCCTTTCAGAGTCTCTTCCACAACTTTTACAACACGGTCAATTTGCCGGACTCCAACTATACTTAGTCCTTCCAGATCTTTCAAATCAAGACATCCTTGAGGCACACATCCTGAGACTACTAGCGCATTATTTCCATTTCAACATTTAGCCATAAGTGTTTCCATGGCAGATTGACTAGGGGACTTGACTGTGCAACTGTATGATTAAGATCAACATGAGGTACAATAAAGACACAAATCAAGAAACAAAGTTCAGATGTGAGAAAAGTTCATGCAACCAGGTAAGCTTATAGCACATGAGAAATGCACATCTTTGATTTATTGACCACGTATTAAAAAAAATGCAACGACTAATCTCCACAATGTCCAAAAGCAGAAACTGAAGTAACCAAACAAGGTTGCTGCAGTGATATTGAAATGCCTTTCAACTGCGTAAAACACAAATATAGAGCTAGCACAGAATGCTAAAGTTGAAAAGAAAAAGGAATGCTGATCAGTGGCAATAAAACGCAAGGGACAGCACACAATAGATATCAATGAAATACAAATACTTTTACAAATTGGAAGTACTTCAATTTTTGCAGATCCGCTGCCACTACTCTTAGAAAATCTTATAATTAGGGTTGGGCAAAACTCCCGAACCGAATCGGACCAAACAAGACTCGAAGTGAACTAAACCAAATCGAGCGGTTCTTCTAAAGTTAAATACCCGGACGGGTATTTGAATCGAGAACCGACGGGTTCAGTTCAATTTTCGGTTCTAGATCAATAACCGAAGAATCGAATTTCTTTAATTTTTTTTAATTTATTTATTTTAAATAAGTCAAATTATTTTATTTTTCTAAATAAATTTGTTAATTAGTTAATTTAGCTCAAACCCAAAAATATGATTTTCCTATTTCTAATTTTCACTCCAAGACCTAATCAAATTGACCTAAGTTTTATGTAAATGTGTTATCCTACACTAATGTCGTTTCAACCGTTCTGGAGAAATCGAATTGA